GTCGATTCGAGGCGCAGCCCAGCGTCATTTGCGTGCATAACTGTCCGGCTGGTCCGGTCGACGCGACTAAGCGCGCAACGGGAGCGCATGAAAGACCAAGGCCGTTGAGGATGACTCTGAGGATGACTCGTTTTTCGACCTCCCGATGCCCCTCCTCCTTTCGGCAGCGGCCCGGCCAGCCAAGCCGGCGTGTCGAGCACGCGTCAGCCGAGACGCCCGAACAAAGAATGCAGGGGGCAGCGACTCATTGTTACTCGCATTGTTCCTTGCATTGTTACTTCCATTGTTATCGGTAGTATCAGAGTATCTGAAGAAATCACGTCGCGTATCGTACGAATTTCCCTAGACCAGGCTCTCATCGTAATTCTTTTAGCCTTTCACTGCGCGTGACGTTTTTTCCGACCCGTCCTTTTTCAGAGTCGACCTTCGACGCGCGGATTCAAAGAGAAAAAAAGTCTCGGCGAGTGACTAAGTCGCTGACTATTACCCAAGCCTTTCGATCCGATCGACATATCATCGGCGACGAGTTTTGCAAGACAATGAAAAGACGAGGATTGAGGACCCTAATTGGTCGAGCGGCGTTCGTCGCTCATCTCGTCTACTAATTATTGTGGTTCGAGTATCAAGTTTGACAAGGGGCGGAAGGAAGCGCGGTCTCTCGTTACCGAAGCAAACCTTGACGCGTGCGCAGTAATGGTCGATTGATTGCATTGGTGTAGGATGGATGCAGCGTTTAGAAATTAAAAATACGAGACCTTGATAGGGTGCCGCGGACCGTTGTACGAGACTCGCGTACTTAATAGCCACGGCAACGGGAGCATCGGCAACGGCAAAATCCGCGCAATGAGAGTGTAATTTCATTGACCTTGATTAAGATGGATTTCGAGCGATCGAGCGACGACTCTAGGACGTTGTAGCCGGTGGTATCGATAGACGAATAACCGTTAAAATGCCCGTACGAGCAGCTCACCTTTATTCTTCCATCCATTCGGCGTCCAACTTTGGCGCGTCTATTAAATGATACATATCGGATAATTACAGTCTCGCTGGCTTGGCGTAATTAACCGGCAGAATTATTGCAAAAACAACTGGTGAAAAGATTTGAAGGAAGCTCGCGATGCAGGAGTATCACGGTCGACGGATTAGTGGAGGTGCGGAGGTCTGTTGTCGTGAGAGGCCGAAGAAGGCGGGTGGGCACCAAGGACTCGCGTTGGCGCCCCTTCACGAGTTCCTCGGGTCGCCCCTTCGCCCGGGCATAAAAACTCCTCTTGGCTGGCGAGCAGCAGCTGCCCAAAAACCTCGGCGGTTGCTGCCGCAATGCAATCTCGTACGGCCGGTGGCAGGTGTCGGGATTTTGAGAAAGGCGAAAGGATGCATCTGCCAGGGCGCGAGTACAACCGAGACACGGAGCGAAAGCGGCAACCGAATAGAGAGCGAGAGAGAGAGAGAGAGAGAGAGAGAGAGAGATAATAATGCGTCCACACGGACCTCCGTTCGGGAACAGCTGGAGGATCGCGGGTTGCTCATTGCCTCGGGTTATTTCTCCGATCTCCGAGAGAGAGAGAGAGAGAGAGAGAGAGAGAGAGCCTCTCCTTTCAAGTCCTGTCGTGAGCTTCTAAATCAAAGAGGCGAAGCCACTGGGATTGCGAACACCTTGCATGTTCATGCGCGTGCTCCTGCTCGCCCCCTCGCGCAGGTGCGCTTTTTTCTCGTCTTTCCTTTTCTCCTCGTTTGCAGCATCAGTTGTGCAATGCATAGACCGAGGAGCGAGAATTGGAGAAACTAAAAAAATAATAAATATTCCATACTGCGGATGATTAAGGCTGCTTCGAGAACTAGCAGCCTACAAATTTCTATGCGGCTGGGCCTCTCATTTTTCCATTTTTTTGTCATTTTGTGTCATTGTGTCATTGCTCTCGTCATTGTTCTCTTTGCCGTTGTCATTGCGATGGTTGTTATTATTATCGTTATTATTATTATTGTCGTCGTTGTCGTCGTCCTTGCTGTTCTTCCCAGTGATTCTAGCGTCATATAATCTAACTATACGGGCAGTGTCCGAAAAGAGATGGAATAAATGGAAATTCGTTTATAAAGTAAAAGACTCGTCGTTCGTAGCAGGCGCTATTAACTTTTTCCTTTTCAGGCGTCGCGTGACTGGCGTCAGAGCCTTTATGTGAATTTAGCCTACCGTACTCAACGACTACCGGTGGTAACTACGTTGCTAAGGAGGATGAACGTCGGTGAATCTTGTCGATCGCATTGTAACATCGGTGCTAATAGGAGGAAGGGGGGGGGGCGTTGCTCTCGAAGCGATAAGTAGAAAGATCGAGATAAGAGCCGTTTACTGGCAATCGGCAACTGTCTAATGGTACGCGGTTGCTCCTGGTAAAGCAAAGTCACGCTTATTACGACAACGCAAAGTACCGAGCAACGCGTAAAGTTCACGGGCAGGATCTAGTTCTACAACTTAATTAGCACGTCCGTAGGCAAAGCAAGACAACTTTTCCGGCAAAGCTCAAGAGGACTTAATGATGTGTCGCCAGTTAGTGATGACACGTGCACGTATGCTAGCTCGAATCACTGTCATCTTTAGTACTTACTTGTCTCTCCCTTCCTCTTTTTAAACTCCTCGGCCTGTCAAAGGTCTAGTGTATGAACCTTTGGAGCAGCATCGTTCAACACTCCCGTGTTCCTTTGTTCTGTAATTTGTGACTGAAGAACATTATATCTTACCGTATCGAATCCTACAATATATAAGCAAATATTCGGTTGCTTTGTAATTGTGCTGTTTTATCTGAATAACAATAAAAATGAAAATATTTCACAAGTATCTATTATATTTTCATTTCGTATATAGTATAAAATAAGAAAAAGTTATAATCCTTCATATACCTAAGTGAATAATAATATTTAAATGACAGAATGTAACAAAAAGTCAATAAAATGAACGTTTGTTGATATAATATAACTTTTATTGCAGCCAATTGCTAATGTATGACCGATTAAATTAGCTATTTTATTCATTATAAAATCTATAATAGGTCAATTATAGTACAATATCAAACTTGGATTCATTTAACATTTCGATATATCTTACAATTGATACAATTTTAATTGCGTCATTTATTCAATTCTTAGTCATTTCACGAGAATATAAAATAAAATAAAAGGTAAAATTAAAGTACGTATAGTTAATACTTTTCAGCAACAAGCATGATAATAGTAATAATAGCAACAGCAAATGAAACAACAACAACAACAACAACGACTACGACGACGACGACGACGACGACGACGACGACGACGATGATAATAATAATAATTCCGTACAAGACGAGCTAAAGCGATAACTTTTATTTGGAATAACGAGAGTCGGCTCTGCAATTATATTATAGTGTTTCTACGCTTACAATAACAATAGAATAAAATAAAACAATTGCCACGACAGAGAAACGAATGAATTGAATAATCAAGTTGACATTGGTTGACTATTGAAAATTATAAGCTTGCCATTAAACATAATAATATTAAGAGATTGATTTATAAAGGAATAACAGACAATAAAGTGTCCGGTCGAATATTTCATCTTCGAAGCTTAAAATGCTCCGTTTAATTCATACTCCTTCACATAAGTATTATTTTATATTCGTTATTAAGCATTCATTTTAAAAACTTTGTATGCTTGAGAAGAGAAGACCGATGGTGGCTTAATTGGTAGTCTCGTATTCGGGATTCCAAGGTCTCGGAATCATGTTCTTGTCCTAGTTATAATAACGAATAAATTATTCAACATTGCACGTGCTTATCGATAATGGCGGTCTTTAGTGATTTCAAGCCCACATTAAAACCGTAGATACAGTCAGAAAACAACGGACTATGAGGAATTCCTATTAACAACTCTTAAAAGGTTTCTTGACAATCCTCTAAATACAAGGTTTGGAATTCTTGACAGCCGCGGTACCAACAGCATCAGCCACATAGCTACTGACGAATGACCTGGCTATAGGGTTATGAGCTATTGGTGACGAGTGGTAGGCGTGACGGGGGGGATGGACGTGTCCTAGTGCCTGAGCCCGTGGTGATATGCGGTTATAGCGGCGACGGTGGTGGCGGCGGAGGCGGCGGTGGCGGTGGCAGTGCCATCATCCTCGGCTCCCATTGAAGCCACATGCAGTGATGATAAGCGGAAGATCAGTCGCGAAGTGGTTTCGTACCTGACCGTAAAGACCGTGACGGCAGGACCACCGCGCCAACGCTCCATCCCAGGGTGATAATGCAAGTGCCGAGTAGGAGTTATCGACGTGTCAGGCGGCCTGCCGGATTTTCTGCCACGTCATGTCCTTTGTCCCGGCTCCTCGGCTGTTTGGTCTACGCGCGTCGAAACACCTCGCGGGGCGAAAAATAATTGCAAATGGGAAAGAGAAGCGAAAGAGGGCCGGAGTAACGGAACGTAATCGTCCGGCTAAATCGACGACCATCGAGTTTCATGTGCGCGCGCGCGCCCATGTATGTGTGTGTGTGTGTGTGTGTGTGTGCGTGTGTGCGTGTGTGTGTCGGCAGGCCCGTGACTTTATGTTTACGCTTGCGTGTGGTTAGCTAAAAAGTAGGCTCGGTTTAAGCTAGTACGATCGATCCCTTATGGGCTCTGCACGTGAAATCGTGCTGTCGATCGTTCATGGAAGGCGTCGATTCGCTGGCCTATTTTTCTTCAGCCCACGTTACCACGTGACCCCTCGCCACCCCTCGGCCACACTCGTACATTTTACATACTTGTTTGCACTTTCCCGAAGCCATCGGCTTTTTACTGCCGACTGATTGCGGCTATTTGCGTTTCCATAGCTAATTACACACACGTGAGTATGTGCGCGCGTGTGCGTGCATACGGGGGCATGTCGTGTGCCCACACATGTATATATGTATATTGTGATAATTGTAAAGGAGACGGACTAATTATTCACAGGTATCGTCAATAATGTGTCCCTTTTGATTGTGTTCCACAGAGTCCCGGTACGCTGCACAAAGATGTCGGTGGAGGAACGAAAGTTAGTGGAAAGTCAACGAGCGGGGTCGGTTCCGCAACCCTCACGTCTCTCTCGTCAATCACCAACTCCACGAACGTCATCAGGAACAAAAGCAGTCAAATATCACATCGCAAGGTAAGTAATAGCGGTTGAGCGATGGTGCGTAGTGGCGATAAAATACAAAGGAAAAGCGGGTAGTGTCATGCGATTTCCCAATTTTCAATAAGAATAACCGTGACATCTTACGTTCATCTATTTGGTGTTGGTTATCTCGACAGAGGGGAATTTGAAATCTGCTTGGCTCGCGTAAACGAGGCGATAAAGAAGTCCTATAGTGAATGGCGGCAAATGTCGTGAGTTTTGTCTTTTCATTCCTTGTCTTTCTTTGTCTTTTTTTTTTTTTTTTTTTTTTTTTTTTTTTTTTTTTTTTTTTTTTTTTTTTTTTTTAAGCGCGAGAGTTTTTTAGAGTGATTTATCGATTTAGCACGGTCGTTGGTAGCTACATAAGTAGCGCTGATATAAAATTTACTCAAACGGCATTGTCGGCATTAGTAAACAAGTGAACGACAACGAGTGAAACAACAATGACATAATTTGTCCGCGTTTCATGCCACATAAAGCCGTTGAAAGAACGGAATTAAAAAAAAAAAAAAATGTCCCAGCACTTGATAGCCACAAGATAGCTCGGATCATTCGACATGACGGACTTTTTCCCGTAATAATGAGTAATTAGGGAAGATCCTCGGATGACGCAACGCCCAGCGAGTTCGCCGTCCTTGCGCGTAATGCAAGTCGTCGCGATGCACCTTCGCTATTTTTGTTTACGTAATCGAGCAAAAGTCCGTGGTGCTGTATGGATGAATACACACTGGTTTTGCAATGCTTCGCTGTTTGCGGCAACGTCGCGGTGAAGCAAATGCATTATGATGATGATGCAGTTGATCCGCGTGCGTCGCAACCTCGTCTAACAACAGCGCGATTCGTTCGAATGCCTACATCGGGCTTTCGAATTACGGAAATGTCACGCGAAAGTATATTTCGAGGGCATGGAATCATTTTTATCTCCCGTGAGTATAAAGCCGCGCGCGATTTCACGGAGAAAGTATTTGGATCCTCTCGCCGCTGGCTTGTCGACGATTCGGCATTTTAAATAGATACGCCCTTCCTCTAATTGTTAAGTGATTAAGGTACTGTGCACCTATCACACGGTCATACGGGCCATTATCGAGGAGGGAAATGCCATTCGTCCGAACGATTCGAGAATGGAAAACAAGGAGTCCGGTTTGGAGACGACCGACGGGAAATTGCGCGCGCGCGCACATGGGTTTCGGTAGTCCGAAATCATTAACCCACTTACTAAGAGGAGTGTGAGCATCTTCGGAAGAAACGAGCGAGTAATGCGGTTTCGTCATGCATTCGAGATGCTTCGCTATCTTTGTTCCCTCATATTCCGATCGTTCTGTAAATATGAGTAGGATGTACCTTTCCGTATTCGAATTATGAATACTAATTTTTAAAGCTGTTCTTCGACAAAAAGGCAAATTCAAAAAGAGCGAGTGTCAGTTATAAACTGCGTGGCGGTGATCAGGGGCATTAAGGGGGAGGGGGCGGGGGCGGGGCGGGCGGTCCGCGAGAAATGTGTATATTTCAAAGTGAGACCGTTATTCGAATAATAATGCACGTGAAAGCTCCTTTTTTCCTTATGAATAAAATATAATTTTTGAAACATGATGAGTAAGTTATATTTTATATAGTATAAGCTGGTGTCCAAAATTTGTTAAGCGGATTGGACTTTAAATTTCTAGATATAACTATCGCGTATATTATCCTACGATGATCAATTTATTTGACAAAAAATGATTCTTTATTTTTTTTTTTTTTTTTTTTTTTTTTTTTTTTTTTATTATCGTGCACTTTAGACAAAACATTTTATTGAGAAAACAGAAAACATATTTTTGAAACTTGCTCGATCACTATGAAATATTTATCAACCGAGCGCAATAATTATTGAGAAATCCATCGACTGAAAATTATACGAATAAATCATATTATATTCCATTACGACCGAATCCAATTCTTATAGATTATAATCGATACAATGATTATTTCTACATGGTGCATTAAATAAAAAAAGTTTTTACCTTAAGTATGCGGTTCAGATCATATCTGCGTTCAGATTACAATTCCTATCCCTTGAGAATTCTAATATTAAATATGTAACGTAAAGGATAAAACAGAGAGCAAAAACAACATTTTTAATTAAAATATGACCAAGCATGCTAATATATTCTTATAAACTTCGAGTAAAATACGTGAAGTTATTAAATAAATTTCAATGTTACTCAAATTAAGCTCAGTATAAAATTCTTAACAATTTGTTGGGCAAGCGGTCCGCGTTAATTGTAGTCTAATAAATTTTAAAATGATTTTAATACATTCCGAAATAGTCGATGCATTATGCAAGAATACTCGCTGAATAAACATACGTAGTATAATAAATCTTGGCGGTATTGCATATTCCATTAATTCGAATTTTAAAAGGAATTCCTACTCATTGTTTTAAGATAAATAAGGAAAATTTAGAGAACATAGTAGGCACATTAAGTGAATATAATAAAATTGTGACGATATGCATATAACGAGTACCTAATATTTTTCAATTAAATTGTCAAAAAACATTTTTATAACTTTTAGATAATTTCAAAGAAATTAAAATTTGTATATTATTAATTCCAAAAATAATTCACGCTTACGTGTTCTCGTATCATAATGTTAGATATAATATTTAATATATAACGATAATATAATAAGGAAGGATTACGAGGATAATAACGATCTCAGGTAATAAACTTAAATAAAGAAATTACTTTAGAAATTACTATTCGTTTCTTTGAAAAATATTATCTAGAGATAGATCAATACGATTATTTCGAGTAAATTTTATCGAATTTTTAAACGGTAAAACAAACAAATAATTGCAAGTATTATTAATAAAATTTAATATAGAAATTAATCTATGATTTCAATGAATAAATCATCGATACTAGATAGATTGAAATCAGTATTAATATTACATTGTATTTTTTGTTTTGTTTATCTTTTTTGTTTACGTGTGAGTACTGTACTCTGTATTCCATACTCGTAAAAATCTAAACGTTACATTGACGAATATACGTTGAGAAATAAGAAAATGTACCACTGCTATTGGTAGATCTGTATTCGAGAAACGTTAGATCTTATTAAATAAACATCAAGATTTTTTTAAATAAATCGATATGGCTATTGGAAGTGATATTAGTGAAGTCACAAGCACGCCGTACTTCGTATTTGTAAAATCCAGAACTTTATGTAATACGAAAGAAACTTTATGGTTTTGTGAAACTTTAGTAAAGAAATTGTAGCAAATCGATTTAAGCGCGACAAGATCTTAGAATTACAAAATGTCGGTGTTTAAAATTTGTCTCCTGCCTCGAATGATTATGATCGAAGGATACGCTCGGATATTGGCGGATCAGAGCTGATAAAGGTCAATCGTCAAATGTAAATGATTCCCTGCTGTCATTGCACTCAGCTATACAAAGCTTGGCATTAGCGTTTATTAATTATAATTGTTTATTAAAGGATTGATAGGTTGAATGTTGAAGAGGCCAAATACGATATTAACGTAAAGGTGAACAATATAATAGCAAGGGAGAATGTAGAGAATGTAGGTAGCCCAGGTTCGCTGGATATTCCGAAAGAGCTAATGAGATAATAATATTATGACGTTGGCAAAGAGCGATTGCGAATGCCGATTGGCAAGTCAAGCAAGAGTAGTTAACATTGAATGGAAAATTGGCTAATTCGAACGAAGCGGAGTCGACGGCATTTGTGTGTTTCGCGAGTTTCTAATGCAGATAAAGGATTCGGGTGTACGCGCTCGGGACTTTAGAAGCGATAAACATCTTTCGAAGGAGCAATGCAAGCTCGTGTCTACGTGAAACTCGCCCGTTCTTAATCTTAGTCGAGCCGAGCCGAGCCGAGCCGAGCCGAGCCCTCCTCTGGGCCGGTGAAATTTTTCCCCGAGTCCTTACATCGCCGCCGCTCGCGCACTTACGTAAGCGCAATTATTAGGCGAGCAAAGCAGGTGTGCGCACTTTCTAAATTCGTGTATAAATTGGCCGGTGGCTCGATAAAGCTGCCAGCCACGGGACATTCGTCGGCTCATTAGGGTGACATCGCGGCCCATTCAATGCCACCGATAATACATAGCGCATCTAGAAAGAACATCGGCCCTCCTTACGCCACTGGCGCTTATTATCGTTAGAAGTTACAGCGATAGGGGCAAGAGTAATTAGGATAGAGGGGAGATTTACACGCGGAATGGTCGGTGCGATCGACGCCTGGGGCCCGGCGAGCCTGTCATTGCCTCCCCCCCCCTCCCCCATTTGTAATTCAGCAAGGCCTGCGCACATTTTATCGTAACGTTTGAAGTTTAGTACTTGGGAGGTTTTGTAGGGGCGGAGGATCGCGGAGCTGACGATTCGTTACGGTTGTGGTGACGATGTGTCTTGGACACGTAATGCCGTGCGAGAGGCCGACGATCGCGAGTTACGGAACCGAGCAGACTTAATAGAATAAAGAAAAAGCGTATTGCGAAGGAGCCAGCGACCGCCGCGAGCGTCCACAAAAAAGAAAATAATAATGAAAATAAATAAAATTAAAAAAATAGAGAAAAAAACCCCTTCACCCTCTTGGCATACCAGCGATCCTCGTTCTCGTGACTCTCGCAGTCTCCTCCCGAATTTCGGGACTCGGGGAATCTCTCGACCGAGGACTTACGATCATTCGTCCTTCGCATAGGTGAAAATCACGGAGGTACAGGTCGACGCGTCGAAAGGGTCAACGGGTGGGTATAAGCACACTTAAAGCGGCATCGTAGCGGGACTCGCGTGTACCTTAGGAGGCAGTGGGGATGCCAAGGCAATTACGGTACAGGACTCGCGGTAGTAGGAGTTCGGCGACTCTGCCAGATCGATTGAACGGCGGCGCCTTGTGTGCGCGGGAGCCGAGGACCGCAGTGGTATGGAGAAGAGACGGACGGGACCGCGGCTCGTGGAAAATATTTTCCTTCGCTGAATTTTAACGAGCGCATT